TTAGGTCAGGATTTAAGAGTGTTAATTTTCAGTCACTTAAAAAGACCAATTCACATGGAAGTTCCTTCCCTGTCAGGCTAAATTTGATGTTATGTACTAAAAAACAAACACCGACTTCTAGTATTAGCTATTTACCTACTGTATATTGTAGTTTTCATTTATGAATGACAAAACTCTCCTTCCTTTAATTGATGTAACACACTGGAGGACTGGATTGGAAACCCAGAGGCCTGTATTCTGTTACAGGTCAGTCTGTTGCTAAACTATTCATTTGACCGCTCAAAGAAGTCAAACTATGTATTTAGGGTCCTTTTTAGTTCTACAATTATTCCTTAGTATTATTAATAGTATGTCTTTAAGTAACCTAAAAATTAGCAATAAAGTATTAACAATTTCATACTTGGGGGAAGAAAACCTTAAGCTGATTTTCACAGCACTGGAAAAAAGTTCTACTACTAGAGTGCTTCTCAAACTTTAATGTCCGTATGGATCTCAACCGCCAATTTTCTCAAAATGTAGACTCGGCATATCAGATACAGAGCTAGAGATTGAGTTTCTAATAAGCTCCCAGGTGATACTAATTGCTACTGGTTTGGAGACTGAATTTTGAGTAGCAAGGTTCTAAGATCTTAAGACACAGTAATTCTGACAAACTAGGCTAGCCCAGATATTATTATAGAATGGTGACGATGACAGGAATAAAACACTTTGGAAAATGCCATAAAGTCTGATGATGAAATACGTCTAGGATTCGTGTTAATATAGGAGGTGAGAAGTGGGTGAAGTAGGTTTTAAGTTAGTCACTGAAGATGAATAATGGGAGATTGTTCTAGTTTTTATCTTTTGTTATGCTTAAAATCTTTCATAGAAACTTAAAATTGTTTGGCTCAAAAATCCTACACAACACTAATGCCGATTAACAAGATGAAACAAAGATGATACTTTGTGCACTGAAATAGAAGTGAACTTGCAGGAAGGGTGGCTGTAATGTTAAGGCTGGAAAGGACTGTGTGTGCATTTAAGGTATTTACACATAATTTAAACTTTAAAAATACTAACAATAGCTCCTTGTTTACTTTTTACACTTTATCTTAAGAGAAACTTAAGGCTCAAACAACTTAATAATTCTCGAAAAATAAGTGACTGGAAAACTTCCTTAAAATTGGTCCAATGTCATGAAATTTGGTAAGGGGACTATCAGTGTTCAAACATCCTAATCTTCAAACTTATGTTTGGACAATAAAACATTATACCATTTAAACATCATGAATATTAAAGTGTTTGCAGTTATTTTTTTTTTTAACTAGGTAGCAAATTTGGCTATAGAATACAGAACAAATGCCTTCTGAAAAGCAACCACTGAATAAAAAAAAAATAGCACCAAATTCAAGGTAACAAATTACCTCTGGGGAAGGAGTAAAGTAGGAACTAAGATCCAGAACAGTTAAGCGATGTCAGTTTTAACTCCTAGTATTTTAGTTGTCATATATTAGAATTTACATATAAAGTATGAAAAGTGTTAGGTAAGGGCATAGGTGTATTGTTTTGTTTTTCTGCATATTTGAACACTTCATTTTGTCCTCAATGTAGATAATATGACAATTTCAACACTTTTATTTGCAAAATCTGAAATGGAAAAAAAAAAGATAAAGGGAATAGATGTATTTAAGAGAATATTAAGATTTCTAATAAATTTTTGATACATAAATTCTAATACTATGGCTTAAAATGAAGATTTTCTGAATTCTTACCAATAGATGTTCTAGAAACAAATATTTTAAAGTTTACATATGCTCAATTTCATTGAATATAGTAACCTCTTTTCCTGAATCAACAAGTTTTCAGATTTATGCTCCATTCTAGTATTTTTCAGGCAGTGAAGAAATCTTGGTTGAAGTCCTGAGCTATCCATGAGAGTATGCCTTTTCTTCTTTTCATAGAACTCATATTGGGTGTTAGAATTACCTCCTAGTTTCACAACTACCTTTAAGGGTATTGTAGGCAGCTGCGTCTGGGGAGGTCTTTCCCTACACACCAAGTGAAACCTCGATTTGGACAGGGGAGAATTCTTGACTCTGAACTAGAAAGAATTCTCCAGCAGGCTAAACGAGTGCAGGTAAGGAATGAATTCATTGAAGTGAGAGTAAAAACGAATGGCCACTGCCCGGCGGGGAGCTGAGAGCAGGAAAGTGCAGAGGGAGGGAGTAGAAGCTTGCTGCATGGGACAGTCTCCCACACCAACTCCTAAAGCCAGGGTTACCTGGTGTCCTGCATCTGCATGGAGTGGGGGCTAGTCCCTACCATCCTAGGACTTGAGGGAGCCGTGGTGCAACGGATGTAGTGAGGTTATGTTCTAAGAACTTCTAAAGATTTACAGACAAGCTACTAAAGAACAGATCACGCAGCTGCAATTCCATCCGGGTCACCAGTATGTTGAGGATTGAGTCCTCAGTTCTTGTTCCCACCACAACAAAAAATTTAAAGGTAGAGACACAGTAGCAAAGCAGAATGGAAGTTTTATTTGAATACACTCTAAGGGAGAGCTCAAGTGGGCCAGGTCAAGGTAGACAAAGGCAGGCTGCTTACTGTGAGGCTGCTTTTTACGGTATTTTTGGCAGGACAACTATCTTTGGCCTTGGAGGCCTGGTCTAATCAGCAAGAGAGGGATGATGGATTCTGTACCGATCTTTCGATGATTTTTCTTACACGGGCAGAGTCTGTGCTTGGAAAACTTCTCATCCGGGTGGTTTTTCTTTTCTTGTCTGGGTACTGTATGGACATTCCAAGCAACTCCTAGTCCTTGAAACTTCAACTAATTAACTCCGTCTTTTCTGGCTCTCTGGTTTTATCTGATTAACTCTTTTGAGTCCCTTTTAGTGGGCTTTCCTGGCTTCATTCTCCCTCCGCCCTCTTATGTCTACCTTTCTGCCTATCAGTATATACACAGAAAATCTCATTTTTTGGTCTATAATTAAATATATACCCATGTTTTATTACTGGATTATCACCTGGTTCAAAATACAAAGCTAAATCCAGTCTCCTTTTATTCAGCTTTGGGATGCATTGTACACTTGCATTTTATGTCCTTTTGCTTTATTAAGCTAATATCTAATATAATTTTAAAACATTAAAAAATATTTCTTTATAACAAGAGACATTAGAATAAATACCATGGATAATAACTAAATTTACTATAGGCAAATCTGGCAGTCAGGGAACTCCAGCACTGTAACTTTTTGTCCTACATAGTTAACAAATTGCATAGCATTTCTCCATTTATCCTAATAGCTTCACAGAAATAACCCTGTAAGGTGGCCAGAGCAGAACTTACTGCCTTCATTTTATAGATAAGGGATACTGAGGCTTAGATAAGTGACTTGTCCTTTTCCTGGAAACTATATGGAGATGCAAATAGAACTATATGAACAATTAATTCCATAATTTGATTATAAGCTGATTTAGAGGTAAAAGTGTTAATATATTCTTAATATAGAATGCTTATCCTTTCTGGCTAAGCCACAGTATTCTCAAACTGCTTTCAAACACTAAATTAGATGTCTAAAATTAAATATAAACTTTACAAATTCACTCCCTAAGTAGGTGCTTTGAAACCCATTTCCAAAATAAATTTTAATGTCAAAAAAATTTTTCCTTCTGTTACCTCTTTCTAAATATTCAAGGTAAAGCAAGTATTAACAAACCATTGTCTTAAGAACACTTCACTGCTTAGTTCATTGTAAAAATGATAGTCTGGGGAACAGTGGTAACAATATTGATGACAAAGCTGATAGTATTTTCACCTAACACTTAAGCAACTTACTACATGCCATCGACTGGATTAACTTAATGTACCAACTTAAAGTGCTCTAGCATGTCAAAATTCACACTTAAATGACTTGGTACTTTGGAAGGAAGGCTATACTGGAGGGTACTCTAAGACACTGAAGAATCTGCTACTCCCTAGGCAGAAGAACTTTGGTTTCTGGTCATCCCTGGCCAGAGATATTGGGAACTCTCCCCACTCAGCAACTTGAGCAACTCCAATTCCCATACACATCTCAGGGCTTTTTCTTCTTCTTCCAAGGCAATCCCAGCCAATGGGAACTACCCAACAAGGAGAAAGTACCTACTTTTCGGTTTCAACTACCACTCAATACGGAAAAAACTTCACTTAAAGAAATTTGTTCAATTACTATTCATTAAACATGGTATTGGCTTTTTACAGACTTCAGGCACATATGCTACTGCTTCAATACTTCTGCACTACAATGCTATTTAAGAATAAATATGAGATCACCTAGCTTCTAAATCACCCCATGTTGTTGACTCAAATGTAAACAATTACTTTTATTTACTACATTCTTCTTATTTGGAGGTGACTGAATTATTGTATTGATCTGGCAAATTAAGGATTTTACACTCCATTTTTTTTTCTCCTAAAGTAGTTTTGTGTAACTGCCGATTATCGTATGACAGAACAAGCCTATGGAACATGTACAGTTCCAAAGTTATCTGACACTGATATACCTGTTTAAAAAAGGTATATTCTGAGTAATATAAACAGCATCCTAATTGTAATCCTTTAAAAATTGAGTCATAACATCATAAATTACCCTTAAGTTTTTAAATATCTGAATGTGTATCTTCCTTCCCACTCAAGGCAAAAGCAGACAATATGTTGCTGTTTCTTACAACTAACATCTAGTACCCCTTGTTAAAACTGACAAGGTAGTCTTAAGATTAGTAGGAAATCTTTAGCAGACACAAAAGATGAAAGATGAAACTGCAGCAAGAGAGCATGGCAAATCCAAAAGATCTATCAGTGCATAAATCTACTGGGAAAAAAAACACAACAAAAGAGATAGAAAGAATTAACAAGATACAGTAAAAGTTATGTTTTTAAAGCAGTAGATTTTAACAGGGTGGGAAATGTTTAATATGCGTCCTCCGGAAAAGCATTTACCATCTTTTAAATTAAAAAAAAAAAAAAACAGCTGGTGTATTTTCACAGCGTCTAGATTTATTTATGGTATAAAGCCATAGAATTGTAATATTATTACTCCTTTCCCACCCTGGCAGAGAATAAACATGAATTCAGAAGCACAGTGGAGTGAAAACAAAGAGGAGAGAGAAAAGGCAGCAGAGAAAGACAGAAAAGGTGAATACAGAGCTACAGAAGTGTTTATTGAGCATGCTACAGAGGTAAGCAGAGTACACACAAAAGAAAATTAAACAACCATCAAACCTCCCAACTTTGTTAGAAAATTAATTTTTAATTGTGCCGCTTTCAAACTATACTGAATTTTACATTTCTAAAGATGTAAAAACTCAACTAATAGAAAATATACATGACCATTCTGTCTACATAGATAACAGAATCTATGAATCTTGAAACTAAGTACATCAATTTCAAAAAGTATTGGTCATTTAAACAGAATCAACAATTCAGATTGACAAGAACTGTTCAAATTAATTTGACCTGTAGATTCTGAGCCATGTTTTTATTAAAGTCAGATCTATTCCTAAATACAAAATATTTTGAAGATTTATTAAAACTGAATATTACAATGCAAGGTAAATTAAGACTAAAGGCACATAAACTTTGGTCCCACCTGGTTGTCAGTTTTAGAAAACTGCCACAAAATTAATCTTCTGCAAATTTTCGCAGTACACTTTCTTTATCTTTGAAAAATACATGCACCAGTTCCTGAACTAGCTAGACCAGTCTGCACATGCTCAGAAATCCACAACCATATTCCAAATCTTAATTACAAACTAAGGATGGCAATATATATTTAAATGCACGTAAGTCATGTCAACTTCAAAAACATCTACGAAAAATATTCAGCCACAAACAAGACATTACTTAGTGCTGACATTTATATGATACGTCCCACAAGAGTGTGTACAAAAAGGTTAAGATTCCACAATGCTTTCCACATAGGGCTTAAACTTACAGAAATCACTTTGTTGTCTTAAGAAATTAATACTCTGCATCTTGTTAATTTTAACTAAAGCCTACATTCATAACTGAATCTAGACCAGAATTGTGAGCTACAAAAGGCCAATGTTTTTTTTAAAGCAAAGCCTAAGGTTAATAAAAACTAAAAAATGCTGCTTTATTCTTTCAGTATAATATATCTTATTTGATTAAATAGAAAGAAATGTGACAAGCCAATAATTCAAAGTAAGTTCCAAGCAGGAGAAACAAAAACTTAACCTTTTTACACACCCCTGCCTAAATATACTGAAATTCCCATATAACAATGTGCCCTAGACAACCAATTCCTTTTTTTCTAGTAAATGCACATAGCAACACTAGTTTTCCTTTTTAAGGCACGTATGTCAACTAAGTTGGAAAAGGAAAGTATAATCAAACTAAAATTTTACACAGACAATAAAAATGGCTTCCCTACAGAACAGATGAAATATAGCAGTTAGTAACTCTGCCTTTATGTATGCATTTGTTTAAAACCAAGGAATGATAACAGCATGGGAAAAAAAAAGGGAAACAACCAAAAAATCAAACTCTGGTCCCCACTTTTCTGAACAGTCAATAAGTGATGACACCAAACAATGTGATTCACCCCCAGTCTTCATCTCCCCCTTTTTTAAATTGTTGACTTGGAGAAAGACACTCTCAGATGATGGTTTTCACCAAGGTTATAATTATGAAGATCAATCAAGGCCTGGATAGCTTCTTCCACTGTTGCCATCTGAAGAAGAGCCATTTTGTGATCTCTTCTGAAACGAAATTATGAAATTAGATACTCCATAAAAATAAGGAAGGGCTCAAATACTTGAATTTTGCCCATTCCAGAATCAAAATTTCTATTTAAACAAAAAGTATAAAAAACTATGAAGAAAACTTTTACCTCTACTAAAAGTCACTAATTAAAGACAAGAAAGCTTGCTTACTGAAAAAACTTAAATGCTTTCACAGTGCCCCCAGTGTTAGCAAACAGTGTTCGTAGATCCTCTTCTGCTACGGAAGGACTAGGAAAATTGGACGGGAAAAAAGAATAAACGTTAATAGTAAAATTTATATCTTATTCCTAAAATGTATGACCTTAATAATCTCCAGCTTTAATACTTACGGGATATTGGATAAGTGAAGGGTTGCAGAAGGAGGAAAAATGTTCTGAAAATTTTTGGATCCAGGTTTCTTAAAACGATGCAATGGGGAATTACCAAAATCTTTTGTTAGCCCCTGATCATCAAGTCCCTCTCGAGGTAGCTGTACAGTCTGATGTTTAGACAGAGTAACACGAATAATTTTTCCATACATTTTCTGTCCATTAAGATGGTTCATTGCTATAAAAAGAAAGAATGCTTATTAAAAAACAGTAAAAAAGTTCAAAGCAAAAATAATTCTACTTTTAGAATAGTTGAAATATCTAAATTCCATGATTTTTAAAATAAAGCAGGAATTTACAATAGCCATTGGTGACAGGAATGAAATTCAGTTGCACCAAACAAAAGGATTTAGACAAAAATCCAGCTTTTCTAGAATAAAAATCCAGATTATCTCCTTGATAATCCCGCTGATAAATCATATACTTAGATGCCCAAGAAACATAACTTTTTCTCCCTTCTGCTCCACATCCTAATTATCAAGTTCTATGATAAGACACTGTTCCTTCCCTCTCAAATTCATCATCTCTCCATTTCTCTACTTTTCACAAGCATTATTTTTGATCACAGTAACTCAAGTCTCCAAATTCATTTTCCTGTGGGATTTTTCTCTAATTTTCTCCAACCCATTCTATCATAAAAGCTAGATGACCTCTGTAATGAAAATCTGATAATTATCATTACCTGCTTAAAATCCTTCGTGATAAAAATCTAAACGCATTCTGTAACATGGCTTATCTTTCCTAGTCTGACCTTAACATCCCTCTTCAGTCTCTTTGAACAGGTATTTATTGATGTACAATACCAACCATTCTGTTGGTGCTGAAAATCATGCGGTAAAACAAGAACCATCCTAGCCCTCAGGGAATTTGTGCTAGTTTTTCTAGCCCTGTGTGCATGCTGTTCTATATTGAACAATTTCCTGTCTCCTTCACTATTCCTCCTAGTCTCCTCATCCTTCAACGTTACTTCCTCTGGCAAGGTTCAGAACTTGAGTGAAGTACCCTCTACTTTTTAAATTTGCTGCCAATTTATTTTATCTCTATCCTTCAGACCATGAAGTATACAAAGGCAGGAACCACTGTTCCTACTCCAGTACAGCACACAATGCCTAAAGACAAAATATTACAGGGCTACTTCTTGAGGTAGCAGTTGGGTTATTTTTAAATTAAATGAACTGGTGTGAGATTAGAGAACAGTTATGTTTTATACTTTATTCACTAGTCACAAGAATTTTACCATTTCATAAGTCATATCCTTCAGCTAAACTGAAGGTCCGATTTGACTACTCAAATCAAATTAGTAGTAGTTACTACTAACAGCAGAGAGGTAAAGTCAATGTGGAAGAACAGGTAATTGAGAACAAAAACTCTATTCTCAAAATGTTTTAAATATGGTTTAATATACTACAGTCTGACACAGGAAATAGCCAGAATTTGTTAACTCCATGCAACTTGTCAAACTTACTTATGTAGAATAAAACAGGTCTGAAAAGGAAAATGCTATAAACATATAAGGTACCATTAAGCAAAGAAGGCAAAGGTAAATTCTTTTTTTAGCTATAGTATCCCTAATTTCTAAAGACAAGTTTACTCTTCTGGATTGTTTTACTGCAGTGTTACATATCTGCAATTATTTTTTCTTAGATTTTCAAATGAAGCTAAAAGAAAAAAAATCTCTGGGGCCTGAATTTTCTCTCCATAGTCTTCAGTTATTTCACATATACCTATAAATTTACACTTATAAAATCAACTCAACATCCAGTGACAGTACATAAACTTTTATAATAATAAAGCTATTATGTGAATTACAAAATATTGTTTAAGTTCTATCAATTCTATTGTTTTAAATAACAGAACTTTGCTTAAGATAAAACATTAACTATTATTTTACACAAAATGTAAAATAAGGAATGAATTTTGGGAATAAAGTGGTGTTAAGAAAGTTGTCTTGGTTCTACTTTGAAAAGTTATGAAAAGACTGCACAAATGGCTGAGCTTTGAGATACTGAGGGGAAGAAATAAGAAAACAAGAAGTTCTAGGCATAGTCAGTTATACCCAGAGGAGATGGATGATAGAAAAATGGGATTAAAATAAAGCAAAATAACCAAATAGCCATCTTGGAGGTAAACCAGGTAATGAGAGTCTAGTCAGCTGATTTTTGACAAAAGGATCTGCATAATCTAAAGTAGATGGGGTTTGAGGTGAGTGGCAATTAGAATTTCAGGGTTTTAAGTAAAAAAAAAAAACTTGTCAAAAATTGAGGTATACATAATGATTCAACAAAACAAAACTGAAGGAAATTATCTGAAATACTAAATTAAGATGAACTGAGTTTAAACAGTGGAATTTTAATGTCTTGAAATCTATTGTTCCAAGAAATGTGGAATAATTGGATGAAGCAATCAATGATAAAGGAGGAAAAAGTCAATGCTGCAGAGTGGAAATACCATTTTTGGTTGAATATAATGTTTTACTTTTCCCTTAATCTCTGAAGAAAATATTAATGCATAAAAAGAAATTTAAGAGTAAAACTGACAGATACAGGAGGAGTTTATACAATGCAGGAACAGAGCTGTACCGAATTATTATCCCCATTTTAATTCAAAATATTTGTGTTTACTCTCTCATTAAAAAAACATGTATCCTGACATCGGCTTGTCTACTTTATTAGTCTTCGTAAAGAACCCAACTACTTCTTTTTCCCTCTCAACTATCTTCTATACCACTGATTACGAGTCTTGTCTTGATTATCTCCTATCCTTTGTTTATACCATTATTCTTAGTTAAAGCTTTCTGTCAAAATGATACTTTCACTCTATCACACACATCTAATTTGTATTGTACTTTCATTATCACTTTAGTTTTAATTGTGCAATTGAGAATTCAGTCAGTAACATACTGTTTTAAATTTACTGAAGCATTCTTTGTAGTTTTAGTTTGTGATTACTTTGTCACTGTTTCAAAGTGTATTTAGAAGCAATGTGTTGGATGCATAACTATTAGATGCGTAATTTTATGCATGGGTAATTATGCTGTATAATTTGTATCTGTTGTCTTCCTGATGTAATTCAGAAAGGTGAGCTGAAATTCCCCACTATGGTGGTGAATTTACTCCACTTTCTCTGTAGTTCTTTCCATTTATGATTCATAGATTTTGAGGCTATTTCAGTAGGCACAAACATACAAAAAACTGTTCTATCTTCCTCATGATCTCTTTTATAAATATCCTTTTATCTTAATACAGGTGTGTAAGTTTTCTTTTGCTTCATGTATCTATTTTACATCCCCTTTCAATCTTTTCACATCTTAGGCTTTACATTGTCTCTTATGGAGAGAAATTAGGTAGCTTTTTAAAAATCACATCTGACAGTCTTTTAACGGATGAATTTACTCCTCTCATATGTTAACTCTTATGATGCATCAGGACCATAGTCTACCGTAACTTTTTAATTTATGTTTTTCCCCATTTTTCTCTGTATCACTTGCTATTTTCCCCTTTCTTATGTTTATTTTAGAGGGAAAGGTCTCTTGAATCTCTGTTTTGTCAGACAAGCAAAACCTCAAAGTGTAAGTCAGAGTTCATTACTTATGATAGTGGAAGTAAAAGCTACTATATATACTTATTTAAAAGTCACTATATACACAAACTTTTTAAAAACTGCTCAAATATCACCAGAGTATATGATTTCCACTCACTTTATAGCACAGTTTGAGATATATATTTTAGTAGTAAAAGTCAGTTATGAAGAACTAAAGTTTATTTTTGAGATGGCAGTCATATTAAATAAAAGCAGATGGGCATTTCTTAAGCAGTTCTTGAAAATACAAATTGGAAAAACTATTTTAACATGAACAAACTACTCTGTCATTTTGTTAGAGTTCATTCATTTTAATCATTGAAGATTAGTATGTTATTTTAAAAGATGATTTACAAATTAAATTATTCCTAAAATACCCAATTTAAGAAATACTAATATAAATTAAATTATAGACTATGATAAGGTTATTAGAGAAACATCTTAATGTTTGCAAATTTTAAAACTCTGGTCTGAAGTGATTTAAGATGGCCTTTAAGATTTGCAACAATCATTCACATTTAAACACTACTGACTGTATCTCAATTTTCTTTGTCCTTTATTTCTCCCACACTACTTCCTAAGCATAAAACATGTGCCTATATTATAAAAAAATTTTATATATGGGAATTTTCAAATAAGAGGCACATGAAAAACAAAGAAAGAACAGAGCCCAGAAACAAAGCATACTGAATTTAAGTTTCACTTGTTTTTTTAATAGTATACCCTAGTTTATGTGGGATGTCAGAGAGAAAATGTTTGTGTGTGTATTAAAGACATTAACGGAGTACATATTTTTATGGTCATATACTTTAAGAAAGCAGTATCTACCTTAGCAGCATTAATAAATAATAATAATTTGCCACTATATATAAAATAAATGATAAATCATGCTATTAAGGATAAAAAATTTACAAATGCAAGTCTTGTTAGGCACTGAATTGTATTCTACCGAAATTTGTACTGTTGAAGCTCTAGTCCCTTAGCGTGGGGAAAGGATCCTTGAGGAGGTAGACTAAGGTTAAATGAGGTCATAAGGGTGAGGCCCTAATCTAATAAGACTTGTGTCTTTAAGAGGAAGATAAACCAGAGAGCTCAGAGGAAAGGCCATGTGAGGACATAGAGAAGGTTGCTGTCTGAAAGACAGAGACCAAGCTCTTACCAGATACTGAACCTGGGGGCACCTGACTACTAGCTTCTAGAACTGTTAAAAAAAAAAAAAAATTCTGTTGTTCATGCCATTCAGTCTGTAGTATTTTGTTATGGAAGTCCAAGCAGGTGAACATAAGTATAGTAAAAATTAAGGTACCACTTATTTAAAATAGTCCTTACATAAACCAAAAACAATATCCAGAAGAATTTGGTTAAATTCTACCTCAGGTACCATTCAACCATGATGATTCTAAAAAATCCATTACTATACAAGGATGATGCCACCCACTGTTCATACAGTGACAAGAAAAAAAACATTTGAGAATGCTTTGTTAACTATGAAGCACTGTAAAATGCTACTTACAGTGTATATAAAAACAATGACAATGACTACACCCAACAGGATACAAAAGTATACAGAGCACAGGAAGATTTACTAACCATCTATGACATGATCAGTACTCTTATATGTATCTTTCATTAAAGATGGATATCTCCATTTTAAGAAAATGAGAAGCCAGATGTATAAAGTTTTATATATTGTCTGAGCTACTATGACAAAGAAACACTGAAATTCAAACTTACTTCTGACTCTGAAGGCCAAAAGGGAACATATACCATGGTTTTAGTTTGAGTCTCAGTGGATATAAGAGCAAAAATATGAATAGTCCTTACATTAAAAATGGCAAATTTTAAAATTAACAATGTGAATAAAACTAGTCTGAGTTACTATTACCTTTGAATCTCAATGAACAGAATAAGCTAAGAGCACACTGTGAATATACAGTTGTATTCTAGTTTTATGTGAGTTGACTTTGTATATGAAGTCAAATGAGACAATTAAAATCATCAGTTATTTATCTAAATAATAATATAAATGTAATTTAATTCCATTTTAAGATTTGAACAAGGATTAAAAATAGTATATTTGGCACAGTTTTTTCATTTTCTAGGAACCTGGTATCTCTAAAATACATTTTCCATGTGATTCTTTCAATTACTGAATTTAGCCAAATATGTATAAATTTGACTTCAGAAGAATTAAAACACATGAATTAATCCAGATTCCAATGCACTATATGAATAGTTAACTTGTATTACAGGGAGTAACCAGGAACAAAAAACACTAAGGATCTTTAATATAAATGATGTAATTCTTGTGTGAAACTGTTATTGCAAATTTGGAGCCAAAACCTTTTTCTATAAGACTGTGCCTGAGAAATGGTAAGAGAAGAGCAGAAAAATACAAGGATGTTCATCATATGCAACTATCACATTAAAATATGGACGTTAACATGACATGTCATGCCTGGCTATTTAAAATAAAAGAACGATTCTTACTGACACAAAGGGTCTTGTTTTTATTCACAGATTTACATTATATATTTGAAATTAGATTTAAAGATGTATAGATAACATAAAGCTTAATCTTACCAAGTTGTGATTGATTTCCATCAGCCATCTGTATTAGAGCACTGTCTTTCTTATTGTACAAAATCTTCACACGCTGCACATCTCCATAAACACCTTTTTTGGAGCCACAGAGAGGTAATCCAAAAACGGAATTAATTTTACATGCAAGTCACCTAAATATTATCTTTCTGACATATTAATGAAACATTCAGACATCAACATGATCACTCATTCAAACTCATCATTCTCACAAATGAATAAAGAAGATCAAGATTTTGAACAGTGAATTTTGAAAAGAATAATTTTTGATAAACCCTCAAAGCTATGTGAATGATATTAAATTAAAGACCATGCAAAATAAACCAGCATGCATTAAAACAAATTTTGTGTCTATGGAGAGTTTTAAATAGCAAAGAAAAATAGCAAAAGATTTACTATTCAACTTTAAGCCAAAGTGCTAGCTACAAATAAGAATTAAGGTGAAATAAAAATCAAATCAATAATAAAAGTATAGTGCTAACAATAACATACCGAAGAGGGTAAACAGACTTTGGGGCGTAACCATCTTTAGAAGGAGAGAAGAGCAAGCAGCGTAAGACAAGAAGAGAGAAGAGTCGAGGAAGAGCGGAGATGAACAGATCATCCATAACGAAGGGTGGTTCCCGCAGAATGGTGAGGTGGTCATGGATCATGGTTCAAGGCGGTTAATTGGGGCAAGTTGGTCCGAGGAACATTTGTTCAAGCACAGAAGCATGAACATTGGGAATGGAGACAGGGAATGAAGACAAGGACAAGGAAAAAAAAAGGATAAGACAGGGAAGGGAATGGGCATTTGGGAAAAGACAAGGAAAGGGAAGGTGAACACACAGGGGAAAGGATGAAATGGGGAAGGGAAACAGCAATGCAGAAGAAAAAAATAAGGAATTGGGGAACAAAAAAAAAAATAAAATATAGGTCAGTACATAGGAAATGCAGGAATTTGGTCAGAAAATGGTTGGTTTATGTACTGTACAAGAAAAACTGAGTAAAATGTAGTCATCCAAGACAAATATGGGTAAAGTACATCTATATCAAAGAGTAAATTACAGCATTTCATCTCAACATAGGGAAGGAAAGCATGCATAGGAATTTTAAACTTTGAACTTTAACTGCATAAGCATGGCTGGTTATGAAATGCAGGCAAAATTCTTAAAAGAAAAACAAAGGCACTCTGATTCAAACATTTTTGCATGCAGACTGAATGACAATAAAATAAGCTTAATGTTCATATTAACAGAGGCCAATTAAAAATGAAACAAATACTCCAATTAGACATCATAAATTGATACACTAAAGCTTCCCACATTTCATACCAGCTTTCATAGCAATCAAAATAAAATATACCAGACATAAAATGTACAACTAAAGAAAATAACTCAGCAATAAATATTATTTAACAAGGGGGAGATAAATTTGAAAAATATTTTTAGAAGACAATGACTAATAACTGCAAAGAAAAAATTACTAAGAAAGACTGGAAGAGTGCCTCGTCAAGATCTTTGGAAGAACCTTCAAAGAAAAATGTATTAGAGTAGTTCACATAAAATAAGATTTAAAAAAATGCAATGACACATAAGCATGAAATGAACAGCAAATAATTAGAAGAAAAGAACAAAACTGCTTAACAGTTAAATTTGCAAATTAGATCACACTTGCCTTTGAAAATAATAAAAAAATAAAAAGCCAAACTACAGTACTTCACCATATTTTTCTTAGGAAAAATAGGTAGATTAAAAATAAATAAGTAAAAAATATATAGAGAGATATGACTACAGAAATAGTTATTAAACATGTACATAGATTTTATTCAGAAGTAGAAACATACAAAAAATACTCTAATGAATGTACATAAAAAGGCAAGTGCAAAATGAAATAAACATGAGGAACTTTCACAAATGAAATGGAGTTAAAGAATGAACATTAGAAAATCATTTCACTAACCTCTTCGTTTAAATTGCTAACCAACAGGACTGTATTGCCACCAGCTGAGACTCCAGGCATACCCACTCGGCCCGCAGCAGCTGCTGCAGCTGCCGCAGCAGCATTTGGAATAGCCAGAGGACTCAGAGCTCCTGGAACAGCTGCAACAGGAAGCCCTAATTTTAAAATAAAGCATATTTTACGAAACACACACAAGTCGTTTACAAAACCAAAAGCACGAAGGCTGCATGGCTGGGGGTTGACCATTCCACATGGTTCCTGAAAGTTAATTTTTATAACATTTAGAAAAATAGTTTGCTGATACGTAGTAGTTAGAGAAAATTAAATGGTCTCAGTGAAATCATTAAATATTAGAACTAAGGTACATACCTGTAGTATGCTAAAAAATTAAGTATACAATATTCCATTTCCTATGGAAAAGCAAACAAAGCATAAAGAATAATAGCTGCAAGTCAGAGACTTGCAATATTCTCACTTCACAGTTTAACAGAAATTATGAAGCCAAATCTAAAAAATACCTTCAACATAATAGTAATTCACGCTTTTTTATACAAGTGCTATCTTCTTCAACGCAAATAGTTTATCAAACAATAAGACCATCAGTTCCTAGAGACAAATCACCCTAAACATCATTATTTAATTCATTCAAATGACCTAAAGAAAATCTTGACTCAAGTTTGCCTTAATTCCACACTCAAGCTGTTACAATGAACACAAGTTCCTCAAATACATTTCCCCCGTTAGAAAGGCTGAGAAAATGTCACTGTATCACACAGATTTTCTCTTTTGGTATTTTCCCATCCTTTGCCTAACAATCTTAATATTTCCTTATTTCTATTGTTCTAACTTTCCAGTCTTACTGTTCTATCATCTTTTAAGATACTTCAGTCATTTATTCTAGAAAAAATTGCCTTTTGTCTCAGCATCTTTTATTCACATTCCAATTACCAATGAATTTGGAATCCTTTCATCTTTTAAATTCTTACATACCATTTTATTTCTTAATAATTCACTACTAGTTAATAATTCTTAATAATTCACCAATGGAACAAATGTTTTTTTCTCCTTCCCATAATAAAGGAAACAAACATCCCACCTATGTGAGGTTAATTCATGACATACCTGGGTAGAATTGGCCTAGTACTGTCGTCCCATAAGTTTACATCTTATTTCTTCTTTCTCTCCAGCCTTCTTGTGTGTCGTAAGGATATGCTGTTACCTTTGGTTTCAGGTCTCTTAGTCTTTCAGCCAAGTGTTTTTTTTTTTCTTTTTCTTTTTACTTTATAGAAGCTGCTTATGATCTTTTACTGGCAGTCTGAACAATTCTTTAAGATTCACAATTCTTAACCTCCTTAGTTTTTGACATAAACTTTTCCCTCCAATTTCCTTTTAACACCTCTCTGAGCACTGCATCAGTGCCGTAATGCTTCTTTACAGTCTTGTTCTGGATGAGCTTATTTTACAGCTTTTTGGCTACACCATTTTTGGGATCTCCCCCTTTTTTTCTTGTTTCTGCCCTTACTGTAGATTTCACTTTTTGAGAATTTCCAACATACACAAAAGTAGAGAGGCTAAAATAATGAACCCATGTACATACACCGCACTGGCTTAGCAATTGCTAATTGATGGCCACTCTTGTTTCAACCACTTACCCATTTTGTTTTTAAAGTAAATTCCAGAAATAAAGATATAATTTTAAAACAGAAACTTCTCTTGTCTAGTATTTACTAACTGCATGACAATGTTGGGTGCCTTTTTGGAAATAACTGTGATCTTTTTAACTATTCTACAACATTACTAACTTCTCCATGTTAAATACCATAGCTCTTATTATAGATGGTCTCCATTTACAATTCAATGGATCTATTAATTTCTGCCAATGTCATGTATAAAATACACTCCTAATTCCTAGGCATGCACTCACAAGAACTTTGTTCTTGCATACTTTCAGAAAGTGACCCCTCATCCTTTCTTTAAACACTGTTCTTCAGTACTTTCAGATAGGTTTTGACTAAACAGCATTCAAATAAAGTTCACAACACAATTACTTAACAGTGGTGGAAACTCCAGACAGAGGCATTAAACTGTGATATCATTTCCTTGTTTCCCTTTTACTTGGCTATACTTAAGAGAATAAGCGACTTAAAATTCTGTTAAGTTTCTTGGTTTTAATGGGATCCAGTTGATAGCCCAAAATAAACACAAACTGTGTAAAAGAAAAAAGTTGAGTATCAACCCTAAATTCCCTTCTAACAAAAAAAAAAGACTTTTTTGAAATCCATCAAAGACATCTGAACAATAACATCTTCTCCACGATAAAATTTTTTTTATCAGTTTTATTTCTGGTTTTAATGTTCAATTCTAATAGGCAAGAAGCGATTCTCAGGGCCCACTAAGCCAGAAAAACTTAACTGAAAAATTATAATTAGTTACCAAAATTAAAATGATCTCAAATCTCTTAATCCCATGCATTTTCTCTGTATGTCTCTTGACTCTCACCAACCATCATCAGTTTATAAAAATACTCCTACTTATTTACTAGAATTATCTTGAACTTTTTGTACTCTACAGGGAAGAAATTCTCAAAATTTTTGGTCTCAGGACCCCTATGCACTCTTAAAAATTCTCAGGACCACAAGAGGTTTTGTTTATTTGGGTTATATCAACTGAATTTAATATATCAGAAATTAAAACCAAGAACATTTTTAAAGAACAAGAACACATAATCAAGTATTCTATAAGCTGTCAGAGTAATTTAGAAAACTCCAGTGTATGCTAATGAGAGAATTACAGTAAAAAACCGAGTAACACTTTGGTATTATCATGAAAATAGTTTTGATTTTATGGACCCACTGAGACAGTCTCAGGGGTTTCCCAAATATCTCTATACATTTAAAGAACCACTGCCATAAATATGTATTTGTTGTAACACTTTATACATAATGGGCTGCTTAAAAAATACTGAAAAATTCAAGATGCATTTACTCACTCCAAAGGAAAGGAAATTCTGTAATATATATGACAGATGTGGGTATATACATATATTAATTATTTTTAATGTGAGACATGCAGTTAAGACTACTCACTACTGACACTTCCAAAATTTATAGTTCTAAGTCACCTATTACTCATCTTTCCTTGTTGACATTTCAAGAAAAATGACTCATTCATGAAACATACAAAAAATATCAATCTACCTAAATTTGATATATCAATTTACATATTGCAAACTGAGGTTAACTTTGTTTCTGCAGAAAATTGTTTCTTCTAAAATACATCTCTACCATGTCAATATACAATTAAACAACTAATGAATATTACACCAAAATATTCAACAGTAAAGAAAAATTTGTTCAAAGAAACCTTAAATATTTAAAAATGTAACTTTTTAAAATTCATTTCTTCGGGAAATTTTGGTTTTCTAATGGAGATACCCTGTTGGCACAATATTTAAAATATCAAGCCTTATCATAGAAAAATGATCACTGAGAATTATAATAATTGAAATCAATCTAAAATGTTGAGAATTAAATGTCTAGGCTAAAGGTTTTAGTGTGATAGATGCCAGAGACTAAGATCTACCAGAGAATGCCATATCTTACTACACAACACTGTGCTTTAGTAAAAATAAGACTGATTTTCTTGTTAGAAAAATTTGGGCTCAAAGTATATGCAATTTACCTCCTTCTAGTAAGGAAGTAATAGAAAGCTTAACAGAAAGTAGAAAATAAGCTATGAGGTGTCCACCATTGACTAGTGTCCAAATGCTACTTCACAGTCTCCCTACTCTTCCACTTACAATCACTATTCTGGGCCAGTGCTACTAAGTCAGGTGACCTATCCTGCAAATGATCTTTCTTGAATTTTAGGTAGCCCACAGTTATAGTACAAGAGTGGTTTAAAGAGGTGAGGGTAGTCACTGTCCTTAATGCCACTAGTATTTATTTCCCTTCTACTATTTCCTCCCCTGGGCTGGTTAAGTCAAACTGCTTAAGCCATCTTTACAGTTCTAAATCACTAGAATAGACTGAGTTTTTACTGGACTTTTAAAACCTCTAAGGACAGATTCTACAATTAACCCCAGAATACCCTTCTCTAAAAATTCACTTGGTCAATCAGCAAAAACTTTTCTAAGGTTTAATCTACATGTCTACTATAATAAAAATATAAAAACCTACATATAAAACATGATTCACTATACCATAATAGTAACTTCTGAAAAGGAATTTTACATTATTTACATTATTTTTTATATTAATATTAACTCCTAGGTTTAAGAGTAGACAATAAATTTACCATCTCCCCTTTGTAAAGATTATTAAATGTTATATACATTGGCTCCAGTGTATTATTTTGAGCTGTAAAAATAATTTTAATTTTACTGATTTACATCTTTAGTTAAGGCAGCAGGTATGCTTGAAAAAAAATACTATTTATTTAAGCATATTGATAATGGGGGATAAAAATGCCTGTTCTACTTCCAGGTTTGTCATAAAGATAAAACACGGCTGGAGAATTTTACAAACTGCCATATGCTAAACAAACAGAAGGCATAATAGGGATCCTTTCCATATGAAATGATCTTCATCAGCTGGGCCACCTAGATATTTTGAGTGATTCACCAATATCATAAATTTCTCATGTTAGTTCTTATGAAGTGATAAAAATTATGTATCTATCCTTCTCTTCAGGTCATATTTTGCTGATGAACAGACATCCCTAACCCTGCCCATTTCAACTGAACAATTAAATTTTTTGTTAGCTTATTTTAAATCATTTCCATTCCAAACTTTAGATTTTAATAAATATTTTTAAAGTTTTAGATATACAAAAAAATTGAAGTTCCACAGGGCTCCTATATAACCCAGGCACCCCTTTGGCCCCATCAACATGTTACATTAGTATGGTATAATTGTTGTAGTAACTCAGCCAATATTGATGGGTTAGTATTAACTAAAGTCCACACCTTATTCATTTTCTTAGGTTGCATCTAATGTCCTTTTTTTGTCCAAGATCCCATTACTGTCATGTCTCCTCAGGCACCTCTTGACCACAACAGTTTTATCCTTGGTTTTTAAGGATGCAGGATCCCTTCATTTCCCATTCTAAAACTTCTATCCAAAATCAATTACATTACTTCTTTTCATCTTATCTT